AAAGGTTGACTGTTTTTAATCATAGATGTCTGCGATCTCTGTCTCACGTTAGGTGGTTTCACAAGGTAAGTAATGTTGACGTTAGGCGTAGAGTGTTGGGCAAAGACGGGAAATCAATCGACGAGGCTATAAAGTTACATAGACTGAGATGGCTAGGTCACATGCTGCGCATGCCTAACCATCGCCTCCCCCGACGGGCATTACTAGCTGATATAGGTTCAGGTTGGGAAAGAATAAGTGGTGGCCAAAAAAAACATGGCCTCATCAATCCATGAAATCCTTGACAGTTAAACTGAATCATGTAGGGAGATACAGACTTCCGGGTTGGGGCCCTCGGACTCTAGGAATCAATGGCTGGAGACAATAGGTGATATGTCTGAAAATCGTTGTCAATGGCCAGCGCAGATGTATTCAGTCTCTGTAATCTTTCATATTCCTTTCTACCATTACCCATTCTGTTTCACTCTTATACTTGTCAGACTGTATTGATTCTCTTCACTCATCTTCTTGTCTACCTCTGTGTGGTATTTGGAACGTGGCAACTCGAACTGGTGCACTTCGGTGCCAAGTTCTATGTTGAATCCAGACAGACAGAGGATCCAAGCCACACAGTCTTTACTGCGCTTTGTGGTTGACTCGATGAGGAAGGTGGTCAATCGGTTTGCTTAACATGTGCCCTGCCTATCTCAGTCGATGCAACTTTACAATCTGAGAACCTGTCTCAGACACTTCTACAACAAATAGGAAAGAATAACAAAAAACTATAAAGTGAAAGTTTCGAAGATGTGTAATTATAGTTGGTTGATATGATTATGAACAATTATAGATTGTGTTCGAAAGTTTGTCATTCAGTAAATACTAATCCTATTTCACTGACTGTGTGATATATCTAATAAACAAATTAATATGGAATTGCATACTACCACATTGACCAAGTTTTATACATATATATTGACGTGTTGACCAATTATTTAAGATGTTGTATCAGCCGACTCACGCCAGCGGGTTGATCTTTGACGAAATCTCAGAACGGATACAGAAGGCTCGTTTAGCATATGCTAGCCAGCTTACGGCCTTCTCTGACTTAGTACACGTCATATCCAGCTGACTGTCAACCAAAGAAGGTGTGTACTAGACAGCAGCAGTTCACTCTGTCCTCCTTTATGGTCAACTGTGGTGAGACATGGTCATTGAAAGTGGAAAACATGAAAAGCCTGGCTAGCTGTCCTTGATAATAGATGTGAGCGGTCTATCTCCCCTGTTAAGTGGTATACTATGGTGAGCAATACTGAGGTTAGGATTCGGTCGAGCGTGTTAGATGAGAAGGGAGGGGAAATCAATCGATCAGATTGTGAAGCAGCTGTATTGATTGAGATGGTGAGGACATGTGTTACTCATGCATGCTTAGCACTTGATCGCCTTCGTCGACGGAGAATGTCAGCTGACATAGGATCAGTGAGGTTGGGAAAAAAGATAGCTAGTGGTGGTCAAATCAAAACATGGCATTATCAGTCAATGAAATCTATATGAGTTAGTTTGAGCCAGTCACACGTAACGAGGTGCAGATTGCATGGCTGGTTTGAGTCGTCGGGATTGTAACAACCAATGAAGGCTGTAGACAATTGGTGATATGGCTCAAAATCCTCACTGTCTATGATGGCAGAGGATGCATTCTTTCTTTGTGGTGATTTATCGTATCTAATAAAACTTTATTGTTCTTCCATATTACTATTCTTTTTCCCTGACTCACACTTCTGTTTCGTATCTCTTTTGAGTCCCTCCACTCTCCTCTCTTAGTTTGTGTGCTACATAGAGGGGAAGTGGCAATTCGAACTGCCGTAAACCTTTCCAAAATTCTACGTTGGAACCAGTCAGTCACCTTATCTGTTGACTTTCCCCCCTTACCGTAAACTGCTGTACGCCTAACCTTAATATATTACCATATTATACCACCTAGCACAGAAGATAAAACGCAGGCATATGTTATCAAATACAGTTGATCTCTTGATATCTTCCACAACCATGAAGAAGGACAGAACGAACAGCTACATACTGTACATGTTTTTGAATGGTTAACTGATATCTACACCAGAGAGATGATCTAAGTTGGTGAATGCTTCATAAACCCTTTGTATCCGTCCTGAAATTACATCAGAAATCAATCCATCTGGATCTACGCAACTCGTCAAATAAGAGGAGGAGTAGTCAGCGCGCTCAACCATTTCACTTCATATCTTTAAACTGGCTGTTAGAGCTGATCAGTCTTATAGCATCATCTCACATTCGACCCGGGTGAATTGCATGTCAGATATGCCAGGACTTCTGTCCACACTGAGACACACCAAATAAAAATAACAAACAAAAACAGGTCGCGTGTGACCGGCCTCCAGCAGTTGTCCCCTGGGCTCTGCTGTGACGCAACACTCTATGTTTCAGGTACCCGAAGAATTAATCAACTTCCATGGTGCGGGAAGCCGGAAAGTAACAACCGCCCACACACTTCCAAAAGCACACGAAGCCTTCATGAGCATCATTCCCTTTCACTCACAGTGTTCATTAGCCTACTGTAAGATGACGAGACTGTACCGTGGTAACAAGTCAATGTCTTCGTGGCTTAATTCAGTTGAAGTCACATTCATTAGTACATCTATGTTACATTAAGCAGAAATAGGAACAACCAGTTAGCATTGTGGCGGATTTCTTAATTCTAACTAACTAGTCTGATTTGATGACTGTTGACTTGTTGATTTTCAGTGATTATCTACGTGGCAGATTTCTTATTTTTGTATTTGTTCTTCATTTTTTGATGGCTTAGTTAGTTAGTAATATTGATTTCTTAACTTGTTTTTATGCATGTCGCCCTCGTAAACGACTTGGTATGGTGTCGGGCTGGGGTGTGTGAGTAGACTTCAGTTTCCCTTTCAAAATGATCTCGTTATGTGTCCACGCGTTCATTGCCTGTAGCCAGTTACATCTTGTTTTCTGCATTCGCGCGGTGGTGGCATTACTCAAAAAAAATGATAGGGTAAATGTGAACGTCTGTCGCTTACAATTGAACTAGTGGACATGCTGATCTAATCAGAAGAGGTAAAAGCCCTTGATTCCAAATTTATAGAGTGCATTGGCTCCAGAATCCGAAAAGGTAGATTGGTCTATGAACCATTTTTGGTCACCGTCAACCATGGAAACACCGCTGCAAACACACACTACCTTTTGGATTAGACTTTAACTCAAAGGCGCATGCAAGTGGTGTTTTAAAACAACCATACACATGGGTCTTAGACTTCAGGCAGTATCCCAGCCCTCACCCAAACTATGAGAATATTTATCACTATTGTTCCCTTTGGTTCCGAGTGGAACACTGGGCTTCAACAGCACATCTCCACTTTGCCCTATTTTCTGCCGTCCTCGTTATCTAACCCAATGATCGCCCATGGGCTTTAATTCCCTCCTCACAAGATCTCCTCCATATCTCCCTCGGATGATCACCTAATCTTCGTTTCCTATTCGGGCTCTACTCAAGCAATAGCCTGACACGCGATGTCATTCGATGGTCTCCTCTAAAGCCTCAGGATGGTTGGGGGTGGGTGTCTTGCGTTACGGGTTGGCCACCCCTCCGTACACCTCTTGAAATGCTCCCATATGACCGGGCGTCTTACATAGCCTCTCCTGAGGAAGTCCTACTCACTGCCTTCACATGGCGGAGGTGTTTTTCACCAAAGTGAGAGGGCAAAAGCGGATGCCCGGCGCTCTTCACCGGGTTGACTGTCCATTGGATGACAGTCTAGGGGAGATGGCTAAACCCTGATTCCAAACCTCCAACGACTGGCGTATGAAGCTCACCGGCAGACGTATGGACAAAGGGCTTATTGGATGCCCTGGATGACTGGCCCCATTCAAAAAGGCGAATGAACCGGACTCCGGTCACCGGCTGCCAATGGATAGTGGACTCCCTACTCCACTCCTACTGCCTTGTAGGTTACACTTGGTTGTGTAAAGACTAGAGCTGCACTCTCAAACAAAGGCCGAGCGATGCTGGGAACATCACTCGTACCCAATTCCCATGAAACTTCATGGTTCATAAAGCCGGCTCATCCTCCCGTAGAAGATAGCCGAAGTAAAGCAAAAAAGGCAGCTCCTCAGAGTATATGTCATCCATCTCCATTTTCTCCTACATATTTGTTGTGTGTGATAGGTTTTTGTTTCGTTCCTTTCCAGATTTTCTTCTTGCTGCTAACTTTTTCTGCCAGCCATTTGATCCTCAATATGGATGGATGGAGCCAGTGAAACCAGCCATTCATAAAACTCTGTATTGGTGTGTTGGCGGAAATGCTTTTTGTGACGATGCGGGTGCCAAGTTTCTGAGCCATACAGGAAAATTGACTGACTTAATATAGTTGTTAAAAATTCGAATTTTCAGGATTTCATCATGAGCTGACGTTAGTTAGAGAACCAGTGGAAAGCCTGACAGTACTGGACAGCCGTTTCGTCCTAGTTCAGGACTCTTCATCAGTACGCACCCACTACAGGGGTTCGAACCCAGAACCTTCTGATTATAAGGCGAGTTCGTATACCATTAAGCAGCAGTCGCCACTGGGACCCGATCCAATGGCCAGCTCATGAATTCTAACTTCTGCCAACTCACAACATAGTGCAACCACTAGCGAATGTCATCCTTAGCGAGTATTTGTCCTCACACCCGACCTGATGCACCTACTGGTCACGACTTCTCACTAGAGCCCCAGGTAACTACTACCTGCCTGAATAGGGCCAGTTGCTAGTGAGCATCTCATTGATATTCAAGTGTTGGCTTGCAGGGATTACTATAATTATAATTGTACAGCAGCTTATGAAAATGAATCGTCCAAAGGAAAATTTTCTGCATTGTTGACGTCTTCTTCTTCTTTTTCTTCTTATGACTCACTATATGAGAATATTTCATTCACAACATAATATAATGCACATATATGTATCCTATTTCATCATCCATTTTTTGCTAGGTAAATTACCCATCTGGGTTATCAACAAGGCAACACAATTTATGGCGCCTAGAGCAATCCAGTTATTATATAAAGCATGCACTAAATATGATGCATGGAAACAATCAAATAATCCCGACCAAAAACCATGGTTATATTCACATCAAAATAGCCTGCCCAATCTATGTTGGGATGATGTTGAACAGACAGCCAATTTAGGACCAGTTGATGATGATGCCAGTGCCAGCGGTGGAGGTGATGATACCAGCGGTCAGCTAACACCACTTGATGATGAACGCAGTGGTGGCGGTGTCTTCGATCGAAGTGATAGTTTCAATGACTCTGAAGATTTTCAACCGATAATGACGGTAGTAGACAATCAAATGCAATCATGTGTCCCCCAGGCCCAGACAACAGCAGCAACAACAGCGCTGACAACTGTATCAGATTCCGGTTAAAATATTGTAAAATAAATAAATATTGATCTTTTTATTTTTTATTTTGTTGTCGATGTTGTTGGTCAAGAGATAAGAACAGCTGCCGCCACCCCATTCCCCCGTCGCCTGACTCGGGGAATAAATCAATGTTAATATTTCCTTTTCTTCTTTTTTGGGGTGGAATGTATGTGTATTGTTTAGTTTTTCCCCCTTCCCCCTTGTGTCTTTTCTTCCCTGGTGTATGATTTTCTTCTTCCTTTGAATTTATGACCACTGGCAGATAAAATATTGTCACTTTGTCATTGCCACGGATGGGTGGGGGTGGGTGGTTCAACGCAATGGCGTGGTGTGGGGTGCCAACTTCATTTAATGTACACTATTACTACTACTATTCCCACTATTTATTTATTGTTGTATAAAATTTCTTTGTGTATTCAAGTGATTTCTGCCTGTCGTTTCTTTCGATGAGTTGGGTTATGAATATCTTAGTTCATAATGGTGATAATAATAATACTAATAATAATGATAATCAGTATTACTGTTCAGGCAAAGGAAAATCTGAAAATCCCATATTATAAATATTGTTTGTCCTTTATATATTCCCTCTATGTGTGTGTAAGTGAGTGGGTGGATGCGTTTACGGGGATCGTCTGTACTGAATGAGGTTCAGTTACTGCGTGCGTGCGCGTACACACTCACATACACTCATGGACACAAGCTTCTTCTACAAACAATATCTATGAAAAAAAAGACGTTATTTTTTTAAAAGTTTTCATTTGAATTAAAGTTATTTATTTATTTTTTTGAAAAACGAAAGGAAATATATTTTTTTCTTTTTCATGCGACTTTTTTTCCCATCTCTTGCCATATCAGCTGTTGTTGTGTGTGTGTGTGTGTGTGCAGGAGAGTAGTAGATTTTCAAACTGGCTTTGTTTTGAGAGAGATAGCGGGATGGGTAGGTGGGGAGACAGTTTTATGTCAAATGGTTGTGTTCGCCTGCGTCGTAGTTGTGTAGCGTTGTAAAATTTGCCTTCACGCGAACTTTTTCCCTATTGTTTATCTCATGAGTAGTAGTACTGTTGTTGGAAGGTAGGTGATGACTAGTGGTTTCCGTCAAGGATTCCCATTATCCCCATTTCTATTCAACTTCATTATAGATATACCAATGGACTTAACCCTAACTCAATTCAGAGACTCGGGGATTGACTTGCTACTAGGCTATGAATAATCTCGTTGATTTAGAATATGCAGATGATATAGTGCTCTTCTAGGCAAGGACGCTGAAAAAATAGAGCAGAGTCTTCTAGACACCTTGAGCAGCTGCAATCTACGAATGTTTGGCATGCGATTCGCTCCCGCCAAATGTAAAATGATGGTACAGGACTGGACTGCACTGATTCCTAGTTGAGATATAGGAAGTGAAGTGGTAGAGCACGTTGACCGCTTCACTTATCTGGGAAGTACCATCAGCCAGTGCCAACGGGTTGATCTCTGACGAAATCTCAACACGAATACAGGGGGCTCGTTTCGCATTTGCCAGTTTACGCCGACTCTGGCGTAGACGAGATGTTCGACTATCGACCAAAGGGCGGGTGTATTGCTCATCAGTCCGCTCCGTCCTCCTTTATGGTTGTGAGACCTGGCCACTGAGAGTGGAAGACATGAAAAAATTAGCTGTCTTTGATCATAGGTGCCTGCGCTCTATTTCCTGTGTAAAGTGGCATAATAAGGTGAGCAACATTGAGGTTAGGCGTAGAGTTCTAGGTAAACAGGGGAAATCAATCGACGAAGTCGTGAAATTACAAAGACTGAGATGGTTAGGACATGTGTTACGTATGCCAAGTCATCGCCTCCCTCGACGGGCAATGTTAGCGGATATAGGGTCAGGCTGGAAAAAAGCTAGCGGCGGTCAAACAAAAACATGGCATCAGTCAATGAAATCCACAACAGTTGGTCTTAGCCACGTAGGAAGGTGTAAACTTCCAGGCTGGGGTCCTCGGGACGGTAAAAATCTATGGTTGGAAACAATTGGTGACATGGCTCAAAATCGTTCTCAGTGGCTAGCGCAGATGCATCCACTCCCTGTGACTTATGATCTTCAATGAAACTGTTTTGTTTTTCTTTATTACTCCTTTGTCTCACACCTCTGCTCACTGTTTCTATTATGCTTTTCTTGTACTTTCTTCTCTTACTTGCTTCGCGTGCTACACGGAGTGTGGCGACTTGAACTTCCGCACATTTGTGCAAAGTTCTATGTCGAAAACAGACAGACAATAACAATATTAGTGTTTTTTAAATAATAACATCGATTTGTAAAGGAAGATCAATAGTATTACAGTTCATTAAAGATGCTTCAATTATAATAAAAATATAATAGCAAATAGAATATCAAATAAAATTAAGGAAATTTCTACAAAAAGTTGAGGATCATTCGAACCTAGATGGCCAAGCAGTAAGGACAATGACTGAACCAACCAGCTTCTTTTGGATACTTATATTAAGCTTCTTAATGCGGGTCCCAACGGCCAGTCTCAGCAATATTTAGTAATCGAACTCTTAAGGCGAAGTTAAGATTTGTTGATATGCGGTAAATGACTTTGAAAGCAGCTTCGTTAACATCAATCTTGTGTTCTCTTGTATCCACATGAAGAGATAGAATAGCGCTATGAATAGATTTTGTTTGACCTTTACTTCTGTCTGTTTTCGACATAGAACTTTGCACCGATGTGCACCAGTTCAAGTCACCACACTCCCTCCTTGTAGCACACAAAGCAAGAGAAGAAAGTAGAAGAAATGCATAATACAGACAGTAAACAGAGGTAATGACGAAGAACAAAGTAGTTTCATTGGAAATTATAAGTCACAAGGAGTGGATGCATCTGCGTCATTGAGAACGATTTTGAGCCATATCACCAATTGTTTCCAGCCTTCATTGGTGTTTACCGTCCCGAGGACTCCAACTAGTCAGGAAGTCTACACCTTCCTGCGTGGTTGGCTGAAACTAACTGTTGTGGATTTCATTGACTGGTTCCATGTTTTGGTTTGACCGCCTATGTCAGCTAACATTGCCCATAGTCGATGAAAGCGATGACTAGACACACGTAACACATGTCCTAACAATCTCAGTTGATTTAACTTCACAGCCTCATCGACTTATTCTCAATATCAGTATGCTGTAAACTACAAGCATCGTGTGAACTAAGGAATTCGTGTTGATCACGTGTATTCCTGAAGTTTAAATTAACAAGTTTTGTTGAGTTTTTGTGTATTATTAGCTAAGAATGTGTGTAGTACAACTTTTAAGAATAACACGTATTGTATATCACATCACAACAACACAAATAAGGGAGAATAAATAGTTTGACAGTGGAACAATATGTGGTTAGGTGAGTGAATGAATTGACCGAAAAGTGACGCTTCATTCAGTTGTCTGTTCTTATTTCTATTCGGGACTGTCCAGCTTACTGGTTATTGTTCCACCTGTAAGAATTTATCTTAGTGATATTTTTTTTAGTTAATGCTGAGCACAGTTATAATGATTTTAGATGGTTGAAGGCAGTCGGCCACAGGAAGCCCTACTTGACCTAGGTTTCGTGCTTATTGACACTCACCAGTCAGTCAGCAAGGCGTATCTGCAACCTTGAAGGAACTCATGTCCCTACTTCTGAGATTCAAACCCACGTCACCCAGTGCCGCCTGCAGTCAGAGACGTTGCCACTGAGATATTCGGCTTCGCGATTCACCTCCTGGAGGACCTATTGGATACTTTTGACTAGACACTTCGTTTCTCAGAAGGTGGGACATCAGTTCCTTCAAGGTTGTAGATACGCCTTTCTGACTGACTGATGAGTGTCAACTAGCACGAAACCTAGATCAAGTAGGGCTTCCTGTAACAGATTGCCTTCAACCATCTAAAATCATTATAACTGTGCTCAGCATTAACTAAAAACATATCACTAAGATAAATTCTTACAGGTGGAACAATAACCAGTAAGCTGGACAGTCCCGAATAGAAATAAGAACAGACAACTGAACGAAGCGTCACTTTTCGGTCAATTCATACATTCAACTGTACACTGGCTCACATAACCACATGTTTTATCGTTAAACAGGAAGCTCACTTATCTGTCACCAATCCTATCAGGCTCTGATCGTGATCCTAGTGAGGTAATTTTAGATGAAACAAACCATGATACAGCTGAAGAGAACTGATTGAAAGGGTGTCGTATGAAACGACGATCAATAAACTGAGTTTGAAAATAATTTAGAGAATTATTGGCCTAACTGTCTAAGATTTCCGCACTGCCTGTTAGTGTATCCGGTTCAGAGAATATTGCGATTCAGATTCAGAAGTACTTGCTGCTTTTGATAGATACTGTCAGTCACTATACAGTGACTAACTTAACTTAGGAGGAATCAGTATTATATATATATATATTATTACACGGCGGGAATAATTAGTTACTGTGAATGTTTATAGACAGACGTTGGTATCAGCCATCTGTGTCGTTTCACCTCTCCGATTCCAGTGAAGAATAAGTTTGTTTGTTTTATTTTTGTGCGTTGATTGATTGGTTTTGTGAGTGGCGTCTGCAGCCCAACTCCTCCTCTTTACTCAGGCTTCGGACCTGCTGGGAAACTAGAGAGCTAGTAAATTAGGCGAAGTTATACGCACCCACCGCCAAGGTTGGAAACCAGGACCTTACGGTTACAAGGCGGGTTCGTAGGCCATTAAGCCACTTGGACCCTTACATATATATTGGAAGAAACTGGAATTCATGAGCCATTGGATTGAGTCCCAGTGGCTGAATCGTCTACAAGCTCGCCTTGTAACCAGAAAGTTTCAGATTCGGAGCTGTTGGAGAATGTGTACACTGATGATCAGTCCTAAACTAGGACGAAACGGTACCCTGTTGGTTCTCCAATGCTTATCCAGCTGATGTTAACTTACGATCAGACTTTTAACCAATCAAATCACTGCAGACTAACAGTTGGTTTCAATATTGCCCAAATTAATTATGCGGCCTGATTCTATAGGTTGTATACCATTGACCGATGATTTACGAGCTTTGTCCAATTCCATTGAATTTCCTAATGGCCAGTATTTATCCGAATTCAGTTGACTAATTTTGAGATGTTTAGTGTCAAACGTACACACATACACACATATTGAACACACACTGTCCTAAAGTAACCAGCTACAGAAATAAGGATAAGTTGTCAATTTCTTTTGTTGCTCGATGTATGCGGGTATATTGGCTTCTGAAAATAAGTAATTTTCACAGCTGATGACTAAATTAATGTCAAGTTTTATCAATAACAAAAAGTAGAAAAACTTATAGAAACAGTAGTTATAGCAACTGGAAATAAGTGTTGATTCTCAATTGCTTTCCGTTTCGAGTGGAAGATGCGGCTTCAAGTTCTAAGCTCTCTGGACGTCCAGTTAATAAGGCGTTAACAAGGTAGCAACACTAAGAAGATCCATCTAAAGAAAGCCAACATGGAACGGACAACATACTAACTTTCACAGTTGAGTGCTGCTATATACAAAACGAAACGTGATCCGTCCACTGAGCCGCAGAACACGAAGCATTTGCAGCCTTGATATTATGGAAGAGGCGGATGAACACTCTAAATAGGATGCTCCTCGAAAATGGCTACGTAGAATGTTTCATTACGAAATCCATGCAACGTAAACCACCGAAACCGCACATACATCCTGCCTTCAAAATAAATGCCTCTACCTGAATTTACAATGGGAACTCATCAGTCACTGAAGGGAACCTTCTTCGTGGCTAAACTCCGACTAACTCGTTTCTACGAAACGAATGATTTGCA